TCTGCCCTGCTCAGGGCTGGTTCTTCATTTCCTATCTTCCTGAAAGAGGTCTGTCCCCCAATCCTCCCCTCTCCCGGGGAGCCCCTGCCTGTCTGGGGCTGGGTGCCTGCGTGTCGGAAGGGAGGGTGTCTGCTGTACCGCACACTGAAGCTCCCAGCTGCCTCTGGACGCTGAAAAATCCAATTTTCTTCCTAATTGCCACCGCCCGCACTCTCCCCTCACAGCCTACTTCTGCTTGGCGGCGCCTCGTTTCCCCCCACGTCCTCCCCACTCCTGCCTCCCGCTGCCCACCCCACGGGCGGACGCTGCCCCCCCTCGCGGTCACCCGTGTCGGGACGCACCATATATCATGTCTGCAGCCGGGAGGGGCCTGTGAGCCGGCCGGCCCCCGCCCCGGGCTCCCTGACGAAATCGTCCTTTTCCGTGGCGGATGACAGGTTGTGGGAACAACAGCTTGAATTACGGAAAGAAGTTTCCCCACTGAGTTAATCTGCAGTGGCTGGAGGTGACCTTCTGGAGACGGCGATTAATCACGGGCCGTGGCGGGCGCCGCGCCACGCCGGGCCCTTTGGGGGAATACTAATTCCACTACAAGATAAATCATAATTTGACAATAATCATCTGCCCTAATCACTCCAATTCTTCCGTTTAATTATTTGTATACACCGTGTTTCTTCAGTGAGGACCCTGTGTACCCATGGGTGGGAAGGGGATGGCCCCCTGGGCACAGATCCCCCTCTCTGGCCCTTTAGCCTGTGGGCCCTGCTGGTGTTCCTGGGGAGGCCTGACTCAGAGTTGATAGAGGGAATGGTGGCACTCAGAGTTCCCTTAGCAAAAACTGGGGAAACTGAGGCTCAGAGAGAGGCCTGGCCTTGCCCAAGGTCACATAGCAAGCTTGGGATGAGTCCGGCGAAGAATAAAGGCCTCGCGTGTTCAGTCCTAGGCTATATGTCATTGTCTCACTTCCACAGTTCTGTTCTCTGACCTTCTTTTCTCGACCTCTGACAATGCCTGGTCCTTCCTTCTGTCTGTCAGTGTGGACAGGGTTGCTTTCATGTGCCCTACCCAAGTCTGGATGCTCAGGACAAGTGGATCAGGAACTGTGGGCATCTGAGCAGGCAGTGCCTGTGTCCACTTACTGGGTGCTGTGTGACTTCTAACATTTGATGGAACCTTTCTGAGTTTGTATCCTTCACCTGTAAATTGGACTGGGCTTCCTCTCTCCCAGGGTGATGAAGACCTGGCCTGGTGGGTGGCAGATCTACAGAGGGAATCACAGCTGCCTGCCCCTGCCCTAGCCTCTTACTGTTCTATCAGGGACCAGCCACCAGAGCGCTTGTATTTTCGACTTCCACTTTTGCTCCCAATCTGCCTCCTGGTGGGCCATGCTTAGCTCCATTCTCAGCTAGGATAGTCCCAGAGTCCTGACTCTGCTCCTGACATAACCCTAGGAGGGGCTGGCTGAGCAGCCACTGAATCTGGATCCCCAAAGCAGCAAACAGAAAAATTCAATGTCTTTTTTTCAGGATGGCTTCTGGCACCCCATGGTGGAGGTAGTAGCAAGGGCAGGTGCACTGGGGCTGCCGGATCCAGGATGGCCCCCCACATGGAGTTCATGGGAGGGAGAATGGTTCCCCCAAACAAGACCCCAAAGGCTGGCTAGGTGTGTGCTGATGGGGATGCAGCCACAGAGAACTGAGATATTGACGATAGTGAAAATAATAACCGTGGTGAATTCTCATTCTCTTTAGTAGCCTGCCCCAGGAGCTCCAGGTCCCAAGGAGACTGGGTGTCAGGCTGATGGTGGAACACAGCCCTTATCCTCAGGATGCCCTTGTCTCAGGGAAGCGCTGTGACCCCTTGCCCAGATCTGAGAGAGAAAAAGAGCAAGGAAAAATACAAACCACAGTATTACCTGCCAACATTTATGGAGCCCCTTCCATATGCCAGGCATGGAGCTTAGTTTTTTTTCTCTTGCTTCATATTCCTGTGTCTTCAAAACCCCTTGCAAGAGGCTGGTGTTGTAGCTCAGTGTTGGAGCACTTGCCTAGCATGTGTTGGGCACTGGGTTCCATCCTCAGCACCACATAAAAATGAATAAAATAAATGTATTGTGCCCACCTACAACTTAAAACAAACAAAAAAGCCACTTACAAGTAATGTGTGATGTCAGCCCATTTTACAGGTGGGGAAATCAAGTCTCAGGGAGGTAAAGTTCCTTTCTCAGCATTACCAAGCTTGTGAGGATAGGTTGGGATTTGAACTCAGGCTTCTCCTTTATTCCCTCCTTTCTTCTAGGAAATCCTTGTGAAGTTACTTCATCTGTACTGTGGAATTTCTGATCAAAGGAACTGGGCAAAGCTGAGCCAGCGTGTTCACCTCTCAGGGTCTTGGTCTCCAGAGTATATAAAGGGATCTCTCAGCCCTATATACCTTAAGTCTTTCATGGAGTCTAACTTCTGTCCTTCAGCCATAGTTTCCCATCCCTCATCTCTATGTACCCAGGGCTCCTTTCTTCTCTCTCCTTGGCTAGAACTATGACCCACCTCTATCCTTCAGTGACCCTGCCTACAGTGGTGCCATGTTGTCCTAGGCAGTGTCTATCTGATCCCAGTTTCTGACAACATTTGGGCGGATCATCCGTGGCTGGTGGCCAAGAGACCCTGCTGCCTTTGAGAGATGTTTTTGTCAGGTACCTCCTACTACCCCACGATCCTCACCCCACTCAATGGGTTGTCCAGGCAGGGCCCTGGAAGGAGTACCAAATCCCAGCTCTAAGGACCTGAGCAGTCTCATTTGGCTTTTCTGAGTTTCAGTTTCCATATCTGCAAACCAGGGCTAATAATAATATTGGCACAGCTGGGCAAGTTGGCACAGGTCTGTAGTCCCAGAAACTTGGGAGGTTGAGGCAGGAGGATCACAAATTTGAGGCCTGTCTCAGCAATTTTGTGAGGCTCTGTCTCAAAATAAAAAATAAAAAGGGTTGGAGATGTACTTTGGTAGAGCACCCCAGGAAAATCTCCAGTATCACAAAAAAACGAATGAACAAACAAAAGCCTTGCATACAATATTAGCCCTCAATAATTATTACCTATTGTTAGTATCAGATGGCACTGTGAGGTCATAGGCCAGCCAATGGTGGTCCACCTCTGGCTTGGCCTCTAGATGCTAAGGAGGGAAGGGGCAACTTCCCCAAAGACAGCCCTACCCTTAGAAAGCCTGGAGGCCCCTCCCAGCCAGAGCCACCCTCCCTTCCTATCAGGGGGATTGAGGAGTGGGAGGGCTGGTGAGAGGTTGAGGACCTGAGGTTGAAGAGAAGGGAGGCAAAGGTTGGCCAAGTGGGGAGAGATGGCGGGGGTGGGGTGGGGGAGCAGCTGAGTTGCAGGGGAGGGAGGGAGAGAGGCAGTGGCGCTATAAATACCTCCCAGGTAACAGGACCCGTAAATGAAGGGAGGGAATTAGTCACATTCCGCAGCGCCTCGGAGAGAGGACAGGGAGCAATGACCTGAATCCATGGAAGGGAAAAAATTAGGCTAACCTTGGGAGGGGGGAGGTTAGGGGCTGGATGCTGTGTTGCCTCAGAGGGGTGCCCTGGACAGGCTCTTCTGGTCAGGGACCTGGAACCACCATGGCAGGAGGGGTCTGGAAGGGACATTTTGTCTCTCCCCATATCCAGATGTGTGAGGTTTGTGAGAGGCACTTTAATTCCTCAAACCCATTCCTCTTTGGAAGTCCCCCCCGGGGGTCTAGCCCATTACTTTCCTCTTGTCAGTCTGAAGCATATTTCCATTTGCTGCCTTCACCCTCTTTGAGCCCTGGCTCTACCTGGGATCCACATCTTGTTGTGCATCTAGCTCTGGGGTCATTCCCTGGATTACTGGTTTAGATGAAATGATTTTTGCTTGGGAGGGCAAGAAGGACATGCCCTGCTTTCTTCCTCTCTGGACTCAAGCTGGCTGGGGCCACTTGTCCCTCACAGGAATGATGGCCGTGACCTGCTCTCTAGTCTACCAGTCCCAGCTGCACCCCCTAGGGCCAGCCTCCTCCCTCATGGTTGCCAGAGCAACAGTTAGAGCATGCTCCCTCTCACACTTCCCTGCTCTCCCAGGAACGGAGTCCAGTCCCTGGCCTGGCATAACAGGCTCCAGGACTGGCCTCCAAGAGGCTTTCTAGCCCCCCTCTCCCTCACATTCAGCTTGCTTCTCACCAGGGCTGTCTTGCAGCCTAGGATGCCCACCTCTTGCTTTGCCTGAAAGATTTGCATTTTCTCCCAAGTTTGAGTCTGAAATGATCCCTGTTGCCTCCCCAGCTGAGTTGTGTCCTCCCTCATTTATGCTCTGGAAACACTTTGGCAGTGATAGTGTAAGAAAGTGGTTAAGAGGCAAGTTAGAAGGCCAACTCTGCCTCATCGTAACGTTGTGACCTCCCATGAACAAGCAAGCTCTCCAGGGTCCTCAGTTTTCTCATCTGGAAAAAGGGGGTTCTCGCAGTGCTCCCCAAAGGTTGTACAATTTAGGAGAGGCGCTGTGTAAGGAGGGCTTAACACATAGTAAGAGGATGGCTGTTGTTGGGGTCACAGTATTGATCACGCTGTTTCTGTGTCTGCCTCCCCTGCGGGCTGTGAGATGGGGGCGGGGGCGGTGCTGCGTCCCCGTGTGACTCGTCGCCGCAGCCGCAGTGGCCAGCTCGCGCCTGGCACTGAGACGGTCGGCAAATGTTTGCTGAATTAATGAGTGGGGGCTGCAGGGAGGGCTTGGGCTGCAGTTCCGCCCGGGCTGCTGCAGCTGGGGCGCCTGTGTACGTGTGTGCCCCTGGGAGTGGGAGTGAGGGGTGTCTGTAGGTGGGGGAGCCGTATCCGTGTCCCGGGGGTCTGGCGGCGCCGTGGGCAGCCTGGCGCGCCCGCTCCCTGGGGTCCCCGCCGAGCGCCTGCCTGGCTGCGGGACCCCGTTGCCAGGAGCAGTCAGGATGCGGCAGCGTCTCCATGGCAACGCGGCATCTCGAGCCGCGCGCCGCCCTCCCCCGGCGCCCCGCAGTGGGCAGGAGGCCGAGCCTGGCAGCCCCTCCCGGCCCAGCAGCCAGCAAGCTGGGCCAGGAGGCCGAAACCCGGTGGGAGGGGCCGAGGAGGGGGCTACTTATTTTCCTAGGAATGAGAGCTGACTTGCCCCTATGTCCCTCTCCATCTGGGGGAGGGAGATAATGGGAGGGCTCTGTCGTCCTCTGTCCATACGCGGAGCCCCTTCCCCCTCTCCCCAACAGGCCTGGAAATCATGCACAGGTTCTGGTCTGGGAGAGACCTTCACTGGCCAAGGGACATCTCTGATCTAAGTCCTGGCTGTGAAAATGACACAATGATCCAGCTTGGAGGGGCTGTTGAGAGGGGCACTGTGGCCCTGTTGGGAACGTGTCATCCTATTCCAGGGTATGAGTGCAAGTCCAGTGACTTCATTAGTCACCCAATATCCACCAGCATCCCTTCTTCTCATAGATAATGCCTATGTTCCCAGAACCTGTTATGACCCTCCAAGTCATACCATATCCCCAAACCCCCTCAGTGCTTTCTGCTGCGGACTCTGACCCCTCAGGTCCAATACAGTGCCCCTGGTACTTACCCAGTGCGTGTTTTTTTTTTTTTTCCTTTCTTTTATATTTAGTTTTTAGTTATAGTTGGACATAATACTTTTTCTTATTTATTTTTATGTGTTGCTGAGGATTGAACCCAGGACCTCGCGCATGCTGGGTGAGTGCTCTAATGCTGATCCATAACCTCAGCTCTCTTTTCTTTTTTAAATATTTATTTTTTAGTTTTAGGTGGACACAATATCTTTATTTTACATTTATGTGGTTCTGAGGATCGAACCCAGTGCGTGCTAGGTGAGCGCTCTACCACTGAGCCACAACCCCAGCCCCTTACCCAGAGTTTCCCTAGTGCATTTCAGTATTTCCCAATATCTACATAGGTTTAGTGATCTAGTATACCTCTGGCGCCTACTCAGAACCTTTAAATATCCACTCGGGGACCCCCATTACTATCAAATATCCACTTGGTGCCCTCCTTCCAGTTGAGGCTTAGTGCTGTTGTTACTGCTGTTGACCGGTGACGAGTCCTTGCTTCCCCAGTGTTGAAGAATAACACCAAAGAAGCACGCCCAGGCAAGGTCGGAGTAGAAATTATAAGTTTATTAAAGGGCAGCAGAAAAGACTTCTCCCAGGGGAAGAAGGGGACCCAAGAGGTGGAATCGGTGGAAGTGCGGTTGTCTCCCCTTTTTATAGTTTTGGTGATGGAATGTAGGTTGGAAGGCCCGAGGGGTGGGACACAGGTAATTTGGGCAGGAAGGACTTCATTATCACTTCTTGGGATGGGCTATCTCCAAATCTGTTGGGGGCTGTTTCCTGGGTTCCATTAACATTTCTTTGGGGTGGACTTTGGCCTAGGGCCTTTCCGGGACTTCATTAACATTCCATGAGTTGTCCTGCTTTTCCCGGAATCATTCTCAGCATGGCCTCCATTTTAGATCTTACTCGATATTAGACCCGATTTACCTAACTACACTGACTACCTAACTTTAAATCTGGCTTCACTGTTTAATATTCCCCAGGAATCACCTACTGTTTTCGGTGGTCCCCAGTGTTCTGCTAATCCACCCTGTACCCTGCACATCCAGTGCGTAGTCCCACTATGCATCCCCTGCCCAGGGAAATCCCCTTTGGCCTCTTGGCCCCTTTCTACCCTCCTAAGTCCCAGCTCCAACAGGCTGTAGTGCAGGAAATGACCACAAGGGGGCGCGCGAGTGGTCACCCGGAGGCCAAAGCGCAGGGCGCGGTAAGGGTGGAGGTCGAGGGGCCGAATCTGAGGCTTGTGTCATATGCAGTGTGAATCCCAAGCCAGGGTGGGGCTGCGTTCCGAGGCGTATCTTTCCAAAGTGACTGCACCCCAACCCGGCATCGTCTGCAAGCCGCGCAGGGGCCGCCACAACCGCCGTCGTGGCTTTGGCTTTGAGAGGGTGCGCGCGCCCTCTGGTGGCCGCGACGAAGAGCAGCTCTCTGTGCTGCTGGGGAAGGGGCATAGAGGGGACACATCTTCGCCAGCCTGAACCTGTTTTCCAACCTTTGACAGTCCTGGAGGTGGGGTGGGCACCTCTCTTCCTCCCACAATATGGAAATTCCCGCCTTCTATGTATGGGTAAATGAATAGAGCTACAGCAGGAGGGATCCAGGTTAGATTCCTGAAGTCTACCCTTGACCTGTATGACCCTCCAGGGTTAGATCTCTAATTCTGTGCAGAGATGTCTGCTCAGGCATGATGAGATGGACGGAACTCAGCAACTCTTTGTTCAATGAATTAGTGACTGAATTCCCTGAGATTCACAGGTTTTTAGAGATGCCTCCTTCACTATCCTCATCGCATGGCTAGAGGAACTGAGACACCCAGCAGGTAAAGAATTGTCTAGGATAATCAAGAGTATGGGCTGGGGATGTGGCTCAAGCGGTAGCGCGCTCGTCTGGCATGCGTGCGGCCCGGGTTCGATCCTCAGCACCACATACCAACAAAGATGTTGTGTCTGCCGAGAACTAAATAAATAAATATTAAAAAAAAAAAAGAGCAAGTCCCTTCCTTCTTTTTGGTTTCCCGAAGGGTGTGGTGGCACCTCCTGTAATCTCAGCAATTTGGGAGTTTGAGATAGGAGGATCCAAGTTCAAGGTCAGCTGCAGGAACTTAGACTCTCAGCAACTTTGCTAGACCCTGTCTGGAAAGAAAAAAATGTAAAAAGTGGGATGTATCTCAGTGGTTAGCATCCCTAGGTTAAATCCTTGGTTTAAAACACATACACACACACACAAAATGAACCCACAAAAAAGCACCTACTTCCCAGTGTAGTTGTAAAGGTTAAGTTGGATGATGATGATGTTGGGAATAATAATAACATTGGTCATAGTTATTAGTTATGTGAACCGAGTGCTCACTCTGAGCCAGCTGCTGTGCAAGGAGACTCAGCATTTGAGATTCTAGAGGTTATTTTGCCAGGTGGACAGAGGGCTCTGTATGATGAGGCTCAGTCATGACTGGCTCACAGGCAGGATGACAAAGCCCCTCCTAGGCTTGGTGCCTGACGCCAGGCCTCCAGGTTGAGCTCCAGGGTCCTCTGTTCCAGCTAGGATCAGAGGCAGAGGGAGGAACGAGAGGACCTTGAGTTGTCCCCTGTGCAGTGCTCCAGTGGTCCAAAGGCCTGTGTCAGATGTCTGATCCATTGGGAAGGTACTGGGGGCTGGTTGATGGAGGAAGCGTGTGTCCTGGCCTGGACAGCTGAACCTTGGGCCTTTCCTGCAGAAGGAATATCCAAGAGTAGGAAGGAAGGAAGTGGGGAGGGGGAGGAAGAGAAGGGAGGGAGGAAGGATGGGACAGGCCCCAGCTGGGAGCCAGTTCTCTCTGGCCAAGAAAAGAGGATATCTGGGTTGGCCTGGCTGGGAAGCCATTAGGTCATTCACCCTGGCTGGGTTGGGGGGTGTGTGTGTGTGTGTGTGTGTGTGTTTTGGCAGGGTGGGGGCAAGGAAAACGGATATGAAGCCTAACATGGAGGTACATGCTTGTAATCCCAGTGAATCAGGAGGCTGAGGCAGAAGGTGGCAAATTTGAGGCCAGCCTCAGCCACTTAGCGAGACCCTATCTCAAAAGATAAAAGAAGGGCTGGGCATATAGCTCAGTAGTTAAGCATGTGTGAAACCCCAGGTTCAATCCCCGGTTCCACACACACACACACACACACACAAAAAAAAAAAAAAAAAAAAAAAAAAAAAAAAGAAAAGAAAAAGAGAAAGAGAAAAGAGGATATGAGTTTCATCCTGTTTCCTCCTCTGTTAACAGGTATAAGAATCCTTCCTTTGGGGCTGGACAGGAATAAAAATGAGGCCAGAAATATAAAGTGCCAAGCAGGTCTGGAACATAGCCACATATCCACACGTGCCACATACCTGATGGTCCCTCTGTCCTGGGTGGGCTTCCTGATCTGTGAGACAGCAGCTCATACGTAGTCTGGAGTGGTCCATCTCTCCTGCCTTGGACTCCTGCCTTCATTCCGTCACCACTATTGAGCACCTACTGTGTGTTGGAGTGCAGGGCTATCACCCTAACGGGAGACAGTCCCTGCCCTCACAGAGGAAGGTGTCACCTCAGAGGGTGGAGACACATAGGGCCTGTGACAGTCCAGAACAGACACCTGTCCAGACTGGGAGGACTTCCTGGAGAAGGTGATATTCATATCAGGAGGCAAAAGAGGCGTAGGCTTTAGTCAGAAGAAAGGGGAGGACAAGAGGAAGGGTCAAGGTAGAGGGCAGGGCAGGCCCAAAGCCTAGGGAGACGGGCTGTGGCTGCAGCAGAGCATGTGGCAGTGAGCAGGGGTGGGACAGGATACTGGGTCTTTGGGGATGAAGGTTAGGGCTGTGGATTTTTTTTCCCTGAGTATAACAGGGAAGCAGAGAAGGTTCTAGATAGGGGTAGCATGGTCATAGTGGGATAAGACCTAATGGAGGGCACTCAGCAGGGCACTGTGTTGTGACCTCTCTGTCCTCATCTCCCACTCTTCTATGGGCAGCCAGATTGGAGTACTCCTAGCTGCTCTGGAACTCCTCAGGTGTCCCGGCCCTGTCTTTACAAAGGCTCCTCCCCGCCTGATCGGCCTTCCCTGCACTGAACCTCATCCTTAGGTAGAGGACGGTGGTTCTCTCCTGTCTAGTACTTTCCCAGTCCTTTATGGATAAGCCTTGTCCTCCAGCTGTCAGTCAAGGTGTCCTGCCCCTTCCCTGGCCTGGGTGGGCTTGTGACCCAGTCCACTGATGCACTTCTATCTCAAGGCACTGATGGGTCAGGGCAGGGCACGCGGCCAGTTGAGCCAGTCAGAATCCTAACTTAGGATGAGGATGGAAGCAGGGCTCCAAAGAGTCTGCTCTGCTGTGTCTGTCTTGAAATTTTAAATAAATTTATCTTTGAACTTGCATTTTGTCAAGTGGAGTCCTGTGAGACAGCGGAGCATGTAGAGCCAAGATGTGTACAATCCGGGGGTCACATTGCCCACCAGGGTCCTGTGGCCACAGGTGTTCATAGTGCTTTGATGCCAATGTGCACAGAATTCTGGGGGACCCACCTTGTGTGGGAGCTTAGAGAGTCTCAAGTGGGTACAAGGTGAGCTGCTGTGTCTGCAATTGCGCAGGCCCTGCGAGCCCGAGGCCCCTCCTTCCTTCCAAGCAGAAGTTGCCAAGTGCAAGAAGGCAGAAACCCCCTGACCCAGGACCCTTCTGGAGCTTTCCTTACTTGAGCTATTCCCTGGGTAGGCCAACCACTTGTGGGCGACACAGGACAGAAAAGATGGGGCAAGGTGGCCGGGATTGTGGCTCAGTGGTCAAGCACTTGCCTAGCAGGCGTGAGGCATTGTGTTTGATCCCCGGCACCACATAAAAATAAATTAAAATAAAGGTATTGTGCCCATCTACAACTAAAGAAATATTAAAAAACAAACAAACAAAAAAAACAGTGGGGCTGGGGTTGTGGCTCAGTGGTAGAGCACTTGCCTAGCATGTGTGAGGCCCTGGATTTGATCTTCAGCACCACATAAAGATAAACAAATAAAAGTATTGTGTCCATCTACAACTAAAAAGTAAAAAAAAGAAAAAAAGGTGGGGCAATGTTAAGTTCCTTTCCCTTTCAACCCTTCTTTACTCAGTAAGCAGAAAGTAGAGCCACTGCGG